TATATAACTAGTTCATGAAAGACCATTTACCTTTAGGAGTTGAGGTTGGAGGCGATGAAGCATGAGGTGGGATGGGATTTGGTTTTGGAGCATCTGCAGAAGTCATGAAAAAGTTTAATAGAGCATATAAGTATACTAATTGTATTAGTGATCACCAAGTTACTTAAGAAAAACATCTTTTATTCTTATTTCACACTTGGAGTTTAGAATCCCGGAAATGATCGCTTTGTTTAATTTTGATTAATATTTACAGTAAAAATTACAATTGTGTACAATAAACATTGTCATCTCCTAATTATTTGCTATCATTATGTACTAGAATATTTAGTATGTGAAAAAGGAAAGAGATAAATCTGAAACCTGAGAAAGATATTTTTAGATAATCCATGATTTTTTTTTTGCGGTTTTTGCCAAGTTATTGGGCATAAAAGAGTTTGGGAGAATCCAACAAAACTAATGCTGGATTTGTCATGCAGCAATAGGTATGGTCAAATCAAATTATTTGGTTCAAAAGTTTCTTTCAGGGCAATTGAACTCTAGATGGTATAAGATCTGTCAGATATGGAAAGACCTATATTAAAAGCTTAATTGTGGGATGGGATTTATGGCCTGCCTTAATTATGAATGAATTTGGAACGAGAATCGAAAGATTGTATTTGGTGGAAAATGATTTCCTTTCTCTGACTATAGAGATCTAATGAGATTAAAATGGAAAGAGTGGATTATATAGGAATCCATTTGGTGGAAAATAATTTCCTTACTTTATTCTCTCTTTGTTTAGATTAAACCCTCATATTTTTCTATCCATGTCCAAATCTATATATTCAAATCTACCCCTTTTTTTGGACAGGAATATTGAACTTACCATTTTTTAGGATTCTTGAACAAAGATGTACCTATACATTTCTTGACTTATTTAAGGGGGCATGAACTCACCCACTGCATGTTTGCCACATCTCCATATGATATTATATAGATCAAACATACAAACAAGAATAAAAGACTATAACCATTTTTTTAATTTTTAGTTAAAGCAAATTATTGACAAGTCGATTTCATATTAGGTTAAAATCTACAAGTATCCAAACATCATTTAAG